GTGTATCTTTTAATCTTTGTAACAAAATATGTCAATAATCTTGGTGATCTTTTATTTGTAATGTACAAATTTATAAGCAGTTAAGATATGCTATGATGAAGGAAGCAAAAGACATTAAATAGTGAACTGATCCAACTCTATTTACTATATCTCTCATTAACACCTCATTCAAGTGGGAAATGAAGAATAATTTCTATTATTTCATGTTCTACGCTCAATAAGAAAGTTAATAATTTGATGAGAGTTAATTTTTAATCTGAAAATTTATTTTATCTGATTTAATCACTAAAAGGTGAAAATATTTCCTATAGACACAAATATTCCATTAATATTAATAAATCATCTTGTCTCCTTTCCCCCAAAGATGCAACAGAACCATAATTTTAGGCTGTCTTGTTTTGAAATTTTGCAGCATTGTCATTCTTTTTTCTCTGTTTAAAGTAATTGGGGCTGGGAGACAGCTCATTAGAATAAGCACTTGCCTGGTAAGTGCAAGGGCCTGAGTGCAATCCCTGGTTCCACAAATAAGTAAATAAATAAATAAATAAAATAAAGTAATTATAAGATACAAGCTTTAAAATAGAGGATATTCAACTGGAAAAATAGGAATAATACATCAATGATCATCACTGGCACTGTGATTCATATGAATTGTCATGTTTGAATTTGTGGAGGGGACCATCTGTGTGGACATATACAGCAACACAAAATAATGAATTGCTTTTGGAAATACACATATAGGTTTGCTACATAGAAACATGGATTTTCCTTTTCAAAGAAGACATATGATTGATTTATGGATTGAAATATGGTGTATGGGAAAGATTAATTCTATTCCAACACATCTATAGATTCCGTCCAATTCTAATCTTAGTGTGTGTGTGTGTGTGTGTGTGTGTGTGTGTGTACACAGAAACTGCAGATCAGGTAAAATAGAAATTCAGGAGGCAAGAGTCAAGAATAACAAAGCAGCATTCACAGCCACAAAACTGGAAGACTTATTGTACATGAAGCCTTACTGAACAATAAACTCCCATATTTGTTAAACAAATTGACAAAAAAGCAGTTATAGAAATAGATCTATTCCTACTTGACCTTAGGGATACACATCAATGGCACTGCACTAGTGAGCTGGATGTATCTTTTCATCAACAGCAGTACTGGATTAAAAAAAGCATTTAAAAAGTTTACTTAAATGTGTCTGGATTCTTCAAGTGGATTGTACAATTAAACAGAAAACAGAACATAAACATCACCTTAGTGTCTTTGTGTAGGAAACGATTTTTAAAATGGGTCAAAAATTATTAAAATAAAATGTCAGTCTATAGTAACACTATATAACTCTTCTAGTATTCACCAGAATCAACATTTTAGGAGTCCACAGCAGTCTCTGAATTATAAAAGAGACTATGTACAAAATTGTATTTCTCATATGAATATTTCCATGTTATTTAAATGTCTATATATACAACTTCAGAGTATGTATAATATATTAGTGTACGTAATCAATGTATATATGAGTATTTATATCTATCAAAGCATATTATGTAAAATTTTTAAAATCTACACACCAGCAAGTAAAGAAATACCTGTTAGAAAATGATTGGAATGTTTCAATGAGAGACCAAAAGAACATATCAAATATTCTAAAAGTGTGAAAAAATATTAAGCTTTAATAGTGTCTTTTTTCTTTATGAATCACTATGAGCTATCACTAACAAATTAATTAAACTTTCACTCTAGTGTAATTTTATTAGTATAATCACTCTGAAGCATTATTTAGCAGGGTCTACAAAAGTTAAATATCCATACTGAGTACATTAGAAATTCCATACTTGGTTAAACACAAAGAGAAACAACAATCAATATTAGTCATAGCAGCATTATTATTAATAGCTCTAAATTGTAAGCTACTAAATTACCCATGAATAATTCAGTGAAGAAGAGATTTTGGTATAATCACATAATGCAATGGTAAACATTGACTAGATTAAATATATACCTATATAAATAATGTTGATGAATTTCCCAAATAAGATGTTAAATGGAATAAGAAAATAAAAAGAAATATGCATCAGGAATGTACTTACATAATACAAAGAGCAGGACAGTCTAATCTATTGTGTTAGAAGTAGGTCATCATTTTTAATTCAATTTATGAATTAGTCAGATTTCACAAATAACTCCAAATACTACTATCATCTTTTGTTCAGAATTTGGAATTTAAATTCAGTATCTGTAATAAAACACTGTGTAGCCCATATTGCAGGATCAGTGCAAAGAAGAGCTTGATGCGTCTATGGAGTCACTTCTTCAATTACAGTAGGTACCATATTTTTATAATTTAATTTCAGTTGATTTTTAACTCAGATTTCATTTGCTGTCTTTTATTTGAAAGGAACTGAAAATGATGGGATAATCATAAGTGGACACATTTGTGTAAGTACTGACTGATCTTTGTATCTATCCATCCATCCATCTTTCATGTTTATATTATGACAGTAACTCTTTTCAGTGAGGATTTCATTTTGAAGTTTATTTTGAGTGCACTGTTTTCAAAATCCTTTGGCCCTGTAAAATGTTATATTTAATTATACAGACTACAGCTCAGGGAGAGGAGGTACCAGACCCCTTATCCTATAGCCAAGTGCTGTACCCTGCTTTGAAAACAAAGCCCCCAACAGTGCACACAAGTTCCCCTGCTGGTCTCACAGTTGATGTGCCGCAGTGTGGATGCCTGATACTCACAGGTATGCAGCTTTTCCTTCTTCGAGTTCTTTGCTTTTCCCACTGGAACCACTCTTCTTCCCACATACTCTCCTGGTGAGGCACATCAGTAAGCCACATTGTCGAATAAAGAAGCAACTGACGTCTGTCACTACCAGGATCAGCAACAGGGCTGCGACCCCCAGGCCGATGACTGCTCCAAGCCCAAGACCATTGAAGAGCGTATCTTAAGAAAAAGAAGATGTTTCCATCAAATTCTCAGATAAGAAAACACCAAACAATATTTCAAAATTAATCTTAACAGGGACATATACTTGACTAAAGAGGCAGGAAATATATTACTAACTGGCAGGCTTCAATTTCATCATTATTGGGGCCTATTATCTGGCTTTCATATCATATCTTAAATGATTGACAGGCTAATTGCTAGAATATTCCTTTCAAAAACTTTCTTACAAAAAAGACTGGGAATATTCAATATGCTTCTTGATTTCTTATGTGGAAGATAATGAGTGGTATCATATTCCAAATTGTAATTTATGAGAAATTCAGTGTTTAGACAGCCTCACAATGTTAAATAGGAAATACAGTCATAAATTCTGTAGAGTCATAATTTGTTTTACTGATACATTCCATCAGGAATTATATCAGTTTTAAGCCTCAGATTTGCAAGTGGATGTCTCCAAGCCTTTTGCTTTGACCATGAATTCATTTTAAGATACTTACCTCTGAGTATTTTTTAAAAAATTAACACCTTAGAAATAAAAAAAGAACTTGCTTGTATTTTATCAAGTTGATATTTTAATGATTGTGCTAGAGGAAAAAAATTACACAGTTATGCTATTTATGACTAGGTCTCATCAAAACATATGGAGGCACATAGGAGCCATTTATATACGGCATTTGCTTGTAGCAAATCCTAAATAATATGAGGAATGTATCAGTGAAATAAGTGATTTAGATAGGATGGATAATGCTGGTCCATAAAGCAATAATATAAATTGGGGCAGGAAGTAATAAAAATGTTTACGTGCTGCAGTGGACTGTGAGAGAAGATGTGCTACAGCAGAAGTATGGAAGATAATAAATAAGGACAGTGGAAAAATATATAGTTGTTATTTAAAGTATAAAAAAGAGAAAATTTTATCAGACTTCAAAATTATTCTTAATGTTTATATGATAACAGTTTGTGTGCATAAAATAATAAAATTACAAACTACACTTTCTAAAAATGTATTTGGTTGTTACAGGATCTCACTATGCAGCTCAGACTCATAGTAATCCTGCGGCTTTCAGCCTTCCCAGCACTGGGATTACAGGCATGTCCGCGGGTGACGTGGGTGGTGCCGGGGATAGAACTGCGGTCGCTGTGCTTGCCTAAGCTTTCCCAAGCAGGCACTGTAGTCTGCTGAGCTATCTCACTGGCACCCAATCTATTAATGATATAAACATGGAAAAGGCATGTTCATTACATAATTGGTCTGGAGCAAAAGGCACAAAAATGGGACAAATTAGGCTTAGGAAAATCACTTGTAAAATAAGTGTGAAAAGAAAGATTTTCTAAATTATGGCTCCAAACTTACATGTGTATTTCAGTAATCACTTGAAGATAAATTGTTTCAAAGGAAGGAAAATAAATGCTCTTTTCTAAACCTACCATTCACAAATCAACCTTGAATATGTTGGGATCAGGTTAGGCTCTAGCTCTTGTGGATACATAGAGTTAATGATCCTGCTGATCTGGAAGAGCTGCTACTTTTGCACCGCATTTCTGTTCTTCCCATGTGCAGACATAGTGCTCAGCACTGGAGCCCACAGATCAGTGATAACACATCTGATTGATTTTAAAAATTCAGATTTACCTCTTCTATGATGATGATGATGATGATTATTATTATTATTAATGTACTCGGTACAGAGTTTCATTACACAGCTTGGAGTTGTAGTGATCCTGCTGTTTTCAGTCTCCCCAGTCCTGGGATTACTTACGGGCACCTCCATGCCTGGACTCGGTGGCCAGCGCGGCACAGGGTGCCGAGGACCGAACCGCAGTCCTTGCGCTCGCATAAGCAGGCCTTCAGTCTGCTGAGCTATCTCTCTGGCCCTTACCTTTGCTAAATGTAAAGTCTTGCTTTATAGGAAAATGTGCTGCCTCAGGAGACAGTAAGTCCTGGCTCACTCTCCTGCATCTTCCTGGGTCACTATTTACCGTAAAAAGACTGCAGCATCTCCTTATTGATGGGGGACAGTTATCAAAGCAGTGACTAGAAACTAGGCAAATGCATTGTTGTGAAGCTTTTTATAAAAATAGCAATGTACTTTAAAAAGCACTTATTCTCCAGGACACAATAGACATCAAGTAATGGTTATTACTATCCATCATAATACAGTTGTAAAATTCTAAAGAAATTACATTTTGTGAAAAATGAGAATTATCTAAATTTAAACATGAGACAAGAATATGCAGATGTTTTTCTCCATCAGTAACCTAAGACAGGAGAAAACTTTTATTCGATAAGAATTCTTTTTTTGAGAATATCCATATAAGAAAATGATTTAAATTAGGGTAGTTTCTAGGTGATATTTCATTTGTTACACTTCCAGTATTAAACTATATGATAATCTTCATTCTATCTCTAGAAAAATGATATTTGTAAAGCGTTATATGATGATTCTTATCACTTCTTTCAATAGAAAAACAAAAATTTTATCTTAAGATTAAAAATGTCAAATATTAGTTTTGTCTTTTATAAATGTGCATATATTCTGCAAACGCAGAAGATGGTGTGAGCACTAAATGAGCTTAAATTTTAAATATTTATATCTTACCGCTTTCTTTTTTCTTTTCTTTTTTTCTTTTTTTGCGGAACCAGGGATTGAACTCAGGTCCTTGCACTTGCCAGGGAAGCGCTTATTCCACTGAGCCATCTCCCCAGCCCCTTTACTGTTTTCAAGTTAATAATGTAATTACCTATTTTCTCGTGTCCCACAAGGAATAGGCTATCACAACTATGAAAGTTAAATTTCCTTTGTTCTTACTAATTATGTTTGCACTTTGAATTTTCACAAATGAAATCATAAGTGCCTCTAAAATTACAGTCCTATGATTTGAAGACTAATAATAATTTATCAATGATAAAAATAAAATTCTTCCTTTATAAATTATGATCTAATTTTTTAAAACTTAGAGTTGTACATAAGAATCACTTAAAGGATTTGAAAATCATCTCTTTCTTTTTCAGCTTTTCAGAACACTTGCAGATGCTTTATTTTTGTGACAGCCTATTGCATAGAGAAATAATATTAACACTATGGATGAAAATATTGGTGGTGTGAGTGTATTAGATGCACTATTTTACATTAACCACCATCATATAAATGAAAAGATACAGATAAAATATGCACACCAAAAACATAGTTTCTAAGTTAAAAATAATGCATATATAATTTTACAACTAATGGAAGCAGAATGATTTTGTATACTTACAAAAATTAAATACATGAATATAAATTATATGAAATACTTCTGGGTTAAGTTGCCTTTCCAGTGATCATTTTGTGTATTGGTCATATAACTAAGAAATTTTTCTGTTGGATTTTAATAAGAATAAACAATTTAGGAATCAGAAAATCCCACCATTTATCTTTAGTTCATCTTTTTTTTTTCTTTTTTTTTTTAGTTATAACTT